ACGAGCAACTGCTCATCTCTCGTCTAATGACGTTGGGAATTCTCAGGTAACTCCAGCTGAATCGGGATGTGGTGGAAATACGGACGGAGAAAGTTACTGATGGTGGGGAGTCACTAAATTCAATTTCTAAGGATCGGATATCTAAGGCCCAGGAAAGAGCGTTCTAGGATATCGTCCTCCAATATAAAAACATGAAAGAATCCTCAGCCACCCCCGCCGCCGGCATTGTTGAAAAGTCAGAAGCGAAGAAATACCAACCCCGTCCGACCATTTCCTTCTACAAAGTTATTCAGTACCCGGCCCCAGCGCCTTTGTACCTTGATCAGGGGTACAGTCATCAACACGAACTGAAATTCACGGGCAGCGCCTGCTGACCTAGATGCTGACACCCAGGGCAAGGCAAGCATTGACGAAGACCGTAAGGCAGGCAGTGAGCTTCACTACCAGGTCAGCCACGAGGGTGAGGTCAATCACCGAGAGACCGCCAATCTTGCCAAGGCAGACGTTGATGCACAAGTCGATGACGATCTTGATGCAAGCGTACAACTTCAAAACCACAGCTGCAAAAACGCTGACGCTGACGCTGGCGGAAAGGTGGGCCTTGATCTTGAGCAAGATAGAGGCGCAGAGTCCGACGAGTCTGATGACGATGTCGACGCAGGCCTTGACGTCCGCGACCGTGAGACCGCTAGCGTTGATCTTGGCCTCGAGGTCGACACCCAGCTGCACAATCAGAGTGACGATGACCTCGAGGTCTGCGACGATCTTGGTAGCAAGATCGACGTCGATCTTTGCATCGACGGCAGTGTCAATCTTGATGACTGTTTCAAAAAGATTTAGCATAAAAGACAGAAGAAAGTGAGAGGTGAGACCATACTAATCCCATCACACGTCTTCTTAACATCGTTGTAGCAGTTCTGGGCAGTATCACTAAGCGCACCACGCTTGACGACCAGCGAGGTCGTGTCTAGATTCGGCTCTGCAACAGGAGCGGAGAGGACTATTGCAAGTCATGATTAGTCAAAGCGTATTCATAGAGAATATGTCCTTTGTTGGGGTAGACGAAAGCTCCATACCCGGGGTCAGGCAGGCCGCGAATGCCGCAAGGGAAAAAAACGTGTTGAAGAGTTGCATCTTGAGCAGGTTTTGTTCAAGGTGATAGAAATCAAAGGTAGCTGGTACCGAGAAGGCGTTGGTGGTAAAGGATGTGAAGCTGGTTCTGGCTCTTCCTCTGCCTGTGTTGGATGAGATGAAGCAAAGGTCATGGCTGAGGGTGGCGATGAACGCACGCTTTATACGTTTTCTCCGTCCGTGAATAGCATCGTCGATCTTCCAAGTTTCTGTTTGCAAGTCCGATAATCGACTGGCTTGATGGCTGCCGCGGAGCGGGCAATTTGGTCCGCTCCGCCGCAGCCGACGTCGTCCTCCGAAAGTCTGCAGCAAGTATTGATACGGCCCGTCGTTGCCAAGTGCCATAAAGTGGTATCAACTGGGCTAAACAAGACGCACAATACATCCATAGTATACGGGCATACTACAACATCGATTGTGTTTTCGCCGAAAAGAGACCGGATGTGGGTGATGTCACTGCATCGACATGTCCCGGGATATGCACAGAACCAAGGCTGGAGGTTGACATCCACTAGGAGACTACGCGCTTTCGTGTTAGGAGTACTTCGCTTCTGGTTCCTATATCCAACCGGTAGAATGCAACTTTCAGAATCCGGTCCAATGCTCAAAATGGTCATGCATACGACATGCCCCTGCATTCGGAGGGCTACTAAATCAGAGTATGTCACCGACCTAGCTACCGATCATTGTAAGTTACGCTCCATATGACAACATATACTTGTTATCAATGGCTAAGGTATATTAGTATACTCTCAAGCTCTTGACATATGACCAAGACCTACTGCCATTTAACTTTCGAGCAATATCTCCGAGGTATAGAAGAAGGAAACCCAACAGCTTGGATACGGAAAAGAAACCCGGTTTCTAGCATAGCCCAATAAACTTGCCGAGGTCCATAGAAATGGTGAGGATCGGCGGGGCCAGCACGGTAACTGGTCCGGTTTCTGTTGGTCAAACTTGTTTTAACTAGCTCTAAGGCGCTGTTGGAGGCTGCGGCTCGACTACACATGTAGTATATCGCGCAGACGCTTGGGGCGACGGGAATCAAGAAACCTCTCCGGCTCCGGGGCTCAGGCTTCTCTGCGGCTGAAGTATAATGAGTTCGGGCCAGCCCCTACTGCCGGGAGACCACTGTGCAGAGCAGTGGCCGCAAAGTTGCGTCCGCACGTCAGCGCCCGCACGTAAAGCGGCGTCCAATTGTCTTGGCTCCTCCAGAGTCTAGCGCGAGTAGACCTTCAGAATACATTACACGTGGACTGCACATCTTCGGCACTGAGACAGCATATCTTCGGTACTGAAGTTATATAAGTTCACGGCATCCTGTTTTGCAGAAAGCAAACGTCAACGGCGAAGCAGAGTAACAACCAAAGACCGGGTGAACTTCCTACAATCCAACCCCGTCCCGGTTAAAGTGACTTCAAGTCTCTAGGTGTGCAGATGCATACGACCCTGCATCGCCACATCCGAGGCACAGCCGGATTGAACAAGCCGAAACCGCTCTTTCTCCCTCTGGGTGTCTCGAGAGGCACCGCATTAATACAGCTGGGATGTAAGGAGAACGGGCCAGCACCATCTCAGATCTGGAAACGCATGAACGCACGGGTTAGCTCGCATACAATTACCAGCTATCTAAGGTACCAGGTACTGTAGTTTTAAAGACGCTTTGCAGTATTTGTCCTGCGTTGCGCTGTGAGGGCGGGGTGACACACTGGAGAGGGAACGTTTAACCACACCGGAACAGGCGTGACGGAAGATGTTGCGATCAGAAGTCTGTTGCATACCATTTTCTTGGTACATAACTTAGTCATGGCAGTCAACCTGGGCGTCACGTCGTATTGAAAAGCTTGGTTTTGGAAGCTGCTGATCGCCAAGCGCAGATCTCACCATATTGAGAATAGGCTGACTGTATTCCGTACTTCGTACAAGTGTACCACCCAGGCGGACAAGCTGGTTCCGAGCTCTTCAGAGCTTTGACTGACGATCGCTTCTTAGCAACAGGGTTGTCTACTGACTTGGCAGGGTGGGCTACCCCTCCGCATCGCTTCAAGCGGCGCTGCAGAGTTTTCGGGTGAGCTGATGGCGGGGATAGTGCACGTGTAGGACTAAAGCCAGGAACGCTTGAGTTCGACTCGGGGATCAACTTGTACTGCTGTACGGAGTAAGGATTACGACATCGCTTAATGCTGGCAAAGACTGCAAAAGCCCGCCACCTCGACTATCTCCGAAACCCTTGGCATCTGAATCTTTTGGCTTCGGGCGGGTCTACGACGGACAATCACAAGGCACGCCCGACAAGAATTCCCTTCTTCACGTTACGTCTACGCGAGAGCTTACCCTTAACAGCACATTCCTCTACTGGCCTAGATGCATCATCAGCAAGCGAGGCATCGCGATTGGCTTGACCGACACTAACACCGCGTTCATGGCTTTCTCTCCGCTAATCTCCGGAGGGAGGACGATGCCCCTAATAAGACCTGGCCTTTGAACTTCCGTTGAGGGGTACTCTAACCTCGGCATCGATAGTGTTTCCAATACTATTATTATTATTCCTACACCATTGTGCCCTAGGGCGTGCCGGACCTTCAACAACTTACTATACAGGAAAACCGCGCCCTCGTAGGCCGGGTGAAACACCCATATCGACAATCAAGGAAACGGTGAGTGTGTGATCCTGCAAATACAAAGTGAGAAGGCCTCTTGGCCTTCGAAGGAAAGGGATATCAGACCGCGAGCTCCAGCTCCAGCCTCCTAGGGCGGGGTAGTCGATCTTTAGCAATTTCCGGTGTAGAGCAGCTCTACGACTAACAATTTTTCATGTCGGGGTTGGTGGATATAACAAGACAATTGTGATTTATTGCACAACAGTAGAACATGTCACTTGTGTCATTTTACCTTCATTCAATTTGGAAAATTCAGGCGAGGCGAATGAGATACTCTTCATAATTGTGGCTTACTATTTGCAATACTGATCTGATGAGACTTTATGGTACCCCTTCAGCCTCTCTCTGAGCGGGCAGTGCCGGGGTTCAGTGTGTACTGCAGTAGTCTCCAATAACAGCATCCACCACCATGTCCAGCCGCTCATGTGACTATGGCAGGGTTCCGTGAAGACGCGTTTGACCGCGTTTTTACAACATTGCAAGCCTCAGCCAAGGTCTACGGTATAAAAGCTCCTTTGCTCCCATCAGTATGTCTTCTTCCTTCTTTCTTCTCTCAACCGAGAAGCGAAATCGCATTCAATTTTTCCTTGACTCACTTGAGCCCTCTCCGCCCGACGCAAGCAACATGTCCCAGGACAGCCTTCAGTCCTCCAGCCTTCAGTCCTCCAGCCTCTTCGAGTCGGTACTCTCCGATCCCCGTGACCCTCCCTCGAGCGATACCGGTACCACCTTGCCCTCCGAGCCTCCACAACGTCCTCAGACATGGGATGATGTCCCTCAAACCTACAAAGTTGGTGATGGTGCCGTGCAGCTCATGCCAAGGGTGGGCATCACAAGAGCATAGTTTTGGGACTACGGCTTCAAGGTTCGCAGGGAAGGAGACAATCCCAAGGCCATCCGTTGGCTCTGCAAAGTTTGCTCCTGTGCGAAGAGACCACCGAGAGTTCCGTACACCCTCCTTGCCTCGAATCCCGAAAACATGTACAAGCATCTCGCAGTTCAGCACAACATCCTCTCAGAAGACCCTCGACAAGCCAACAGGTTCGAGAAGAAGAAGAAGCCGATCTCTCGGAAGCGGTCCTCGATCCATGCCTAGACGAAAAAACGGAAAGCCGACGAAGCCTTTGACCAGGATCAGATTGCTCGGTTCGACAAGATATAGTTTCGACGGCTCATTGTCAACTGGCTTGTCGAAACCAACTTGCTCTTTACCGCAGCTACCAGCCCAGCCCTTCAAGCTGCCTTCAACTACGCCAATCCGCAAGTGGTAACTCAACAAGCGATGCTAGAACCTCGAGCAGTCAGGAAACAAATCTTGAGCGACTTTCACAAGTACAAGAGTCGTGTGACGGAGGCATTGGCGCGGAGCCCTGGGCAAGTCCATATTGCCTTTGATGGATGGACCTCCCGTAACCGCCACGGTTTCTTGGCCATCAACGCTCAGTTCCTTGACGAGACGTTCGAGCTGAGGAAGGTCCTTCTCGATCTGCCTCATGTGGAAGGGAACCACACCGGTGCCAATATGGCTGCGCACATCGAGGAGGTCTAGAACAGTTTGGTCTTGCAACCACCTCGGATCAGCTCGGCTACTTCACGGTTGACAACGCTTCCATCAACGACACGGCAGAGCTCGCGGCCCTTAAGGGACTCGAAGCTTGTGATGCCCCGCAGATCTGAATTCGTTGCTTCGGCCACATCCTTAACTTGGTCACCCGTGCCCCAATGTATCCAAAGGAAGCACAGCTCCCTGAGGATATTGTAAGGTGACACACACAAGCTCACCAAGGAAGATGCACCGAATCCTCAACAAGCAGCAGGCAAGACGACTGTATTGTGCGTGCACCCCTAACCAACTGACTGATCCTTGAGAGAGGGAAGTTCCAAGTTCCAATCTGAGTCTTCTGCTCTCCAAATATCCTCTCTCTGCTGCGAGTCATGTCGCTGCGCCATGAAATCCACAGTGTCTCGCCCGCCAATTGCCCAAGTGTAGGGCTCATGGTGGGGGCCCTGACAGATATCGACGAAGACGACTTCGACGGCTGGAGGAAATCTGGGCCAATTGGTCGCCTGCATAACCTCGTGGTCTGGATAAACCGCTCCCAGTTGGCTACCGACTTCTTACGCAATCTCCAGAAGGACGCCGGCCGTACGAAGATCCTCGACGTGGTTGTTGACAACGCGACACGGTGGCTTTCCCAGTTCCACATGATGAAGCGGGCGCTCGAGCTGCAGCATTTTATTGAGGAACTCGTCGGTGAAGCCAGCTCACAGTTTGCAGCCGGGCGATCTCACTCGCAGAGGCAGAGAGGTCCGCTTGCGGGTCTTCATGTGTTTAGCAAGAAACCCGCCTGCCTTGATGACGATAACCTCCTCACTAAGGATGACTGGAGCGCGATTCAATGGTTCTGCGCGATCCTGGAACACTTTGAGAAATGTCTCAAGATGTTGGAAGGGGACAATCAGGTTCGGGTTCGCCGTGGGGGCAAGACGACCCGGCTCAGTGGCATTTGGGAAGTCTTCACAGCGTTTGATCAACTGCTCCACAAGCTTGAGGATGCCAAGCTGGAAGCAAAAACTCGCCCAGCGCCGAGTTATTATCAAGGATGTGTCAACGCTGCATGGGACAAGCTTGACCAATACTGGTCCAAGATCTCTGAGTCACCTATTCACTACGCCGCCACCGTCCTCCATCCCGGATTCGGTCTTCAGTATCTCACCGGGCCCCGCCAGGACCATCCTGAACAAGGCCTCTCACCGATCGAGGCCATGGCCGCCAAGAAGAGAGGGCGTGAGTGGGCAGTTGAGGCAGAGAAGGTGGTATGTGGTCTCTGGGAACAGCAATATCGAGATCGTGACCCCGATCCTCGATGGAGCGTGTCATCTCCGACCTCCCGAAATATGGATCACTCGGATCTTGATGAGGACGAGCGAGCCATCCACCGGAAACGCAACCTCACGATTAGCAGTAGGCCGTCGTCTTCACGAACGGTGGATGGACTGGATCGTTGGCTTCTCTCAATTGAGGGGGGACACCTTACCCCAAAGGCCGACCCCATCAAGTACTGGGTGGACCGCAGATTCGAATATCCCCGATTGGCAAAGATGGCCTTTGACGTGCTTAACGTCCCGCCGATGGCAGCTGAGTGTGAAAGAATATTTTCCGCTGCTGGCTGCATGGTAACGACACGGCGGACACGGCTCGGAACTGATGTGATCTCTGCTACCAGACGATCAGATCGTGGGTGAAAGCCGGATAGATGAATGATTACGATGGAATCGCCCTCCGAGATGCAGGCTATTGAGGCGCTTGAGGATGAAATATTGCTTCGAAGTGAAGGTGGCATAGCATGAGGTGACCGGCTCGTGGCTAGGTAGACGTGTTCAGCGATCGTGACCGTCCTGTTATCGGAACATCTTTCACCCGCTAAGCCGTGAACATCTACGTGAATGGTATCTACGTTGATAGAATAGCTCTCTATTCTATCCACTCTATCTAAGTCCAGATGACTAAGCCATCTATTCTATCTACTTCAAGGGTCGCGTGGGTAGAAGTGGATAGATGCAGAACCCTGGTTCTGAAGACCTTGCTGTTTCCATCCAGATCCATGGCGCTCTTTGCATCCTCAATAATATAGTCGATATCCAGATCGGCGAGGGTCCCATTATACGAAATATTCTTCGGCCTTACCTTCTCTTCGTCGGACCGTTCAGGTCCGGGCGTGATGCGGATGTCAACGCCTGCTGTTGGCGTCTGGCGCAGGATAAGCTCTGTCGCGAACCGAGTGCAGAGGTTGTTTTGAGCAGGGAAGGACATCTCGGAGATTGCTTCGAGGGTAGAGCTTTTGCCAGATGACTGGTCGCCGCAGACGATGATCTGGGGCAGGTCGACATATTGGCTAAGTCCCTAAGATTGCAATCGGTCGACAATGTCGAGAAGGTTTACGATGGTCCTTGGACCTTGATTGTCTCTCGAGCCGCTTTCATATCTGGCGACCATTCCCTTAGGTCGAGCCACGCTTTCTCTCCCAGCCATAACGAGAGGCTCCTTCGCCTGGTCGCTAAGCGTTGCAGCAAGCCTTCTTTCAGATCGATCCATCTCAAGCATCGAAATTGAAGTGTTCCGCTGTTTCCCTCGCCTGGCTACAGGCACAAATACCTAACTCGACCGCACTAATCCTCTTTAGAAAGCCTTTCAGTCTCGCCATTCCAGTTCGGAGTTACGCCAATACGCACGCCTCTCTTCGCTTCAGTTTGTCATAGAGATCGCAAGTGTGCTTGCCTGGAGGTGCCGCGTCAATAGCCTTCGAGAACCTGCCTACCCTCTTGGGGAGCGCTCTTCTATATCGTTGCTTGGTTATTGCCAGTCTGATTGCAGTAAATCTGGCCTGGACATTTGGAAGCGGGGTATATGTCATTGCCTTGTCGCCCTCTGCGCTGCCGCTTTGGCTTCTGATCCCATCGCGAAATCGGTTTCCGCTGGTATCCACAAGAACTCGACTGAATTTTCGCTTTGTTGGTAGAGTCTGGTCAACTTATGTACTTGCCGTATAGTTCCTTGGATGGGTTGTTGCAGCGGTTGTCTAATTGCTGCTAGCGTTGACTGGTTCGTTGGTTACGATGGTGTTATGCCTGTGGCAGACGCAAGCCGGCAAGCTCTCCAAGGCCCTTGCGATGGCCGTTAACTCTGCTGTATATGGATTCTGCTCTTCCCTTGTCTCAAGGGTCACGGAATAGTATGCCACTATCTCGCTGGCCCTGCTTGAGAGAGTGTCCCGTGCAATGCCGCCCATGCCAACCATGCTGGTCTTTGCAGACGAGCTGGTTGCGATTATAACCCCCGAAGCTTTGTTGGCCAATTTGGTTGCCTTCACTCGGTCTGGTTCGAGCGTCGGCCGCAGGCGAGGTTCCTAGGGCGGGACGACGTACCCCCGAATTGTTTCCATGTAGTCGACCCGAGCTCCTTCGGCCACGTGGGCAATTTCCGCAACGGGGATCAAAATCGCACGGTCATCCGGATTTTCTTTAGGGCGAGGGGACGCGTTCCGGGCAGTGTATGGATGTTGATCTATCTGCCGCCTGGGCGGGTCGTTCTCGGATGGGGTGAATGCTCGCTTCGGCTTCTGCCACGGCCGCTGCCACGGTTTGAAGAGCTCCCGTGATGGCCAGGGCTCCGATCTTCTACGCCCTATTCAGCCAGCTCAGTGCCCTTTAACCGTAGGCATACATCCAGACGCTGGCAGCGTAGTCCATAACAGGGGCCACTGTCGACACGAACAGTTGTTTTGTACTCTGCGGGAAAGCATCTTCAGCCTCCTCAGGCCTTAGAGACCCTAGATTGTTCTTCCCACAGACTACCTAACTAGCTGCACAAACCTGCCTCGTAGGGCAACCTAGTCAGAGAGGCAGGACCAGACCTCCCTACCGGACCTCTCGGCCACCGGACCTTAAGGTTTGCACCTTATGCCCTCCGCAAGAGGCACAATCCTACGGGGCTATTTAGGCGACACCACAGCAGCCTGCGTAGGGCTGGGGCCCGGGTGCGAGCCGGGACCGCAACTCTATTGCCCTCCCCTCGGTCCAGCATAGCCGCCACGGCCCAACTTCCGCCGGGCGCAACTCCGACCTCCAGCTTCCCATGACACTGCGAGAGCCTCCCCACGAGGCCGAAGCCGTAGTGCCGACCGTGTCTTGCAGCAGGCTGTCGAAAAGAGCCGTCACACCGGCGCAGGTCCCTCCATCGCACTGCCACTAACCTACGCTGGTTTACTGTTGTAGTTCCTCTTTTTGTAGTGTGCTGTTTGTCGCGATTATCGGGCGGGGTGGTCAAGTATTTCCGGGCGCTCAGAAACCTCACTTCTGATCCTTGAAATCGACGACTGTTGGCCGCCAACAGGCCGCGCAGTAGCTGCGCGGGGCTGCAACCCCTTGGGAATAAAAGAACGGATTGCGAAGGACCTTTCTTCCAATTCTTGCAATGCCAGGCCACCTACGTGGGCGGCCCCTGATGTTTCTTCACCGGGAGGGGGTTCACAAGTTGTAGTTAGGACGTTCGGGCATGAAGATTGGATTTCGCTCCATCCAGCAGCCCCGGCCGCAGCAAGAACTTGTAACGGTCCCAGGAGTATATTGCAACTAGCTGGTGACGACTCTACGAGTTTGCTCGAATGGAGAGAGAAGAAGAAAAGAGAGAACTAGATGACAGGAAGAGAGGGCAGCTCTTATATGCTCCGGAACACACAGACACTGCCTGCTTCAGGATGACGTTATCATGATACCACGGCCGGGGGTTGCCGAGGCCATCATGGGCTCAGCCCATCACAGAACTCTTCACTTACAGCTATAGGTATGTATTCCAGACCGATTGAACATCGAGGGGCCGTTCTTGGGGATGCATCTCAGGTGTGGGTTTTCTCTTCATCTCTATAGAACGTTATCCATTCCAACATCCCTTTTTGGTGAAGCTGAAACCAGGAGATTGCGATGGTGCAGCCTTGCTGCCTACCGAGACCGATCGACCATGACGGATTCTGCTCGTCAATCGACCCATTCAATTGTTTTGCATAGTTAACGTTAACACCGATATTTGATGATCCATCAACGCAGTGCAAGCCCGTGATTCAAAAACAGAATGTCATGGCTACAAGACATCCCATTTGAGCTTATCGTGCGCGTCGTCGAGTGCTTTTGTCTGCACTGCATTCGCCACCTGCCGCAGAGTGCAGTCGTGGTTGCCTAGGAGCCGTTGCGCCGCGCTGCTACTGCCATCCAACCCCCGACGAGTATCCCACTCGCCCCGACATCAAGGCCCGAATCGGAACCCTCGCCGCTCTTTGTCTCACCTCCCGCCGCCTCAGAGACGCAGCCACACGCCCACTCTACCATTGCCCGGACACGGGGAAATGGTGGCTCCTGGCCCGCACCCTGCTCCGCCACCCACACCTAGCCCAACACGTCAAGCATCTCATCTTGCCGGGCTTTCCCTACCGTCTCGATGCCCCCGAAAACACATCGGCCATAGCGTCCGACGTCCTGTCACACTACAAGACCAGGATTGACACGGCCTGCGCCTCATTCCCCGACGGAAACAGCCGCTACGACCTCCTTGAGCTTCTCGAGAACAAAGCCCTAGTCACGCGGAACAGCACCAATATCGACAAAGTCGCAGTGCTGAGCAGCCTGTGCCGCAACCTGGAGGTAATGCATGCCAGCACCGGCATCTACAACGGCTTATATCTCTGTTCACCGAATTCCTTGCCGTTTCTGCGTACCGCCCAAATTGTCTATTCGACTCCGAGATGGGCTTTGAACTGGCAGTACTCCTGTCGTTGTTCAAGGCGGCACCGAATCTGCGCGCGATACGGTGTTTTTCTGTATGCGACGAAGGGTATGACGACCTGGGAGTGACGGTAGACACGGTGAAGCATGTCGAGATCTGGAACAGCGCCATGAGTGCCAATGCGCTGGCCATGGTACTGAAGGCGTTTCCGGGACTCGAGGTGTTCAGCTACCATGCCGGGGGGTCTTTGACGGGGCCTTCGCAGTTCAATCCCAGCGAGGCGAGAGATTTGCTGATGAAGCACGAGGGGAGGCTGAATAAGGTGACGCTGGCCTTGACGAACGGTTGGGAGTGTTGGGACTTTGGGGATAACGAATGGGAGAGTTGGACCGAAGCGGAGATACAGGAGGTAGTGAAAGTGTTCAGAGAAAGGGGCGTCGAGTTTGGGGGCATTGAGTTTCAGGTGAAAGTTCTGGAATAGACAGAGCGAGGGAGTCGCATATTCACGTATAGCAGAGCGGCTAGTAGGAGCGGAAACTTCACGCAGGCGCAGTTGGAGGTCTGACAGCCACGCTTAAATGCATGGCCGTGAGCCAACCAGCAAGGTCTGAGAGGCATGTATGGCCACAGAAGCCCGTGGAAGACCAGAACAATCTGCCCAATGGGAGGCATACTGTCACCGCGAAAAGATATCAAGGTAAGCTCACAACTATATGATTGTAAACTTGAGAAATTACAGCCTTAGTTGGGTCAACATCCTGTTGCTCAGGCTGCGCACAATGTGATATACATCTAAGGGTGGAAGCTGAAGGCTCTATGTAGAGCCTAGGGGCCCTCATGTGTAATCGACGCGCCCGCTCCAAGCAAAATGCATTCCTCAACGACCGGGTCAGTGCTGTAGCCAAACCTACCAATTCCCAGCATTGGATGTTCGTCCCAAGCGAAGCTGATAACGGACTTTCGGTCGCCAACGTCCAGGCTTTCCCCATCATCCAGATACAGCTCTCCCTTCGACGTCTCATCCACCCCCCGCGCAACCGTGAGAACAAAGATCTGCCTCCGCAGCTCTGTGGTGGTATTGGCTGACCTGACTCTTATTGGGATGATGGAGCCACTTCTGATATGCACGGGAATGTCGGTCCAACCCGACCCCCCATAATCCTCATCTCCCCACAACTAACCACTCTCTCCCCGGTCCAGAGTTCATACCATACATCCTTCGGCAGATAATAACTAACCGTCTACGAGTCATCTTCCACCACGGGACTGATCAACAACGCCTCCCCCACCCCCCACTGCGTCTGCAAACCCTACGTAGCCGCATCCCCAGGGTACGATAACCACGACGGATTCACCACCGGCCGTCCCTCCTCATCCGCCCTCCACATGACCGTATACAAATAGTTCAATAGCCGGTACCTTACGTCAATCGCCTTCCTCGCCATCTCAGCCACCAACGCCCACCGATAAAACTCCTGATCCGGCGCCGACACATCGGCATGGTTCCGATAAAACGGCTGGAAGGCTGCCAACATTGCCCACCGCGCGCACATGCACTCCTCGACCTGCCCGTTGAACCCGCGCACGTCGGACCCGACCATGGCCATGGCGTGAATGGCCGCGAAGGCGAGCATATGCCGGATCGAGGTGCGGTAGTGCTCCCAGGTGGAGCGGGTCAGGACGAAGGGGCGTTTGGTAGGGGTGCGGGAGATGAGGGGCTGTACGGGTGGCTGCCACCATCTGCAAGCCGTACAGGTTGTGTGTGTCGTAGGTGTAGCTGTCGTAGGCGTTGGTGATGTTGGTGTAAATGGTGAAGGAGAGGACGCCGCGGTGGGAGGCGATGTGGTAGGATGGGTTGAACAGGTCACGGTCTGGGAGGCCGAGCTTGGGACGGCGTGGTGGGGACTGGCGGGCCTTGAGGTATGGGGGAAGTTTGCCGGGCGTTGTGCCCAAGGGGGCGATAGTCGCAGTGGAGATCCGGCATGTCGTGTCGGCGCACATGTTGGAAGCTTCGTTCATGTCAAGCCCACAGTCTGTAACGGTCCCAGGAGTATATTGCAACTAGCTGGTGACGACTCTACGAGTTTGTCTTGAATGGAGAGAGAAGAAGAAAAAGAGTGAAACACTATGCAAGATACCTGCCGTCTTATCCTCCACATCCTTGGCCTGTGCGCCGATATCGAACAAGATAGAAGTCCACCGAATCTCGAATCTTGGCCGAGAGTTTGCCGAGGCCTTTACGGGCCAAGCCCGTTACACAGTCCGTCGACGTCGATTACCGTGGTTGAGTCGTAGAAGGAGCAGATTTCCGAAGTCCACCAGTCTTGTGTACTAGAGGCGCACCAGTCCGGCCACACCACCTCACCCGGCCATTGCAGGCCACGGTAGTACGAGCCGTCAGCGGCTCGGAGGAAGGCACCCATCTCCGCGCCATGGGTGTAGGGGCCGTAGCCGTCCTTCTTCTTGATACCAGGATCGATGTTCTGCACATAGTGCTGGTTGTTGCGATGGAGAGAGTCGACAAGAGCCCGCACATTCTCCAGGGGATAACGAGTAGGATCGGTAGTAAAGTCCTGTTTTTGGTTCATGTAGTCGATGTCTCCCCAGCGGTTTCGATGTCTTCTCAGACGGTTTCGAGCAGCCCGACGACTTGAGCGTACTGCTTGCTGACTGTGCCTGAGGTCTCTGTCCTCTCCGACCAGCCCTACAATACTCTGGAATGCCTTGTCAAGAGGGGCGCAACGGGTAGCGAAGCTGGTAAAATTCGCTATGGCGTTGTCACTATGCTTCTGCTGCTTCTGCTTCTTCTTGTTCTTCTTCTTCTTCTTCTTCTTCTTCTTCTTCTTCTTCTTCTTCTTCTTCTTCTTCTTCTTCTTCTTCTTCTTCTTCTTCTTCTTCTTCTTCTT